AAAACTGGGCTGAAAATGACTGGGCTCAATGTCTTTTCACAGATGAATCACGGTTTTCTGAGGATCCCGATACCAACCGCCTGCGTATGTGGCGAAGAGTGAATGAACGTTACGAAGAAGATTGTACGGTTGGCATTACACCTTTCGGTGGTCGTTCAATTACAGTTTGGGGGGGATATCAATAGACCGTCGTACTGAACTTGTACTTTTCGTCCATGAGACAGTTAATGCTTTACGATACTTGGAAAGAATTCTGGAACCAATAGTTCTCCCTCTGTCCCATCAAATAAATGAACAGTTTGTATATATGGATGATAACGCAAGACCGCATCGAGCCAACGTGGTAAATGAATTTTTCCAACGAGAAAATATCACCAGAATGGAATGGCCGGCGCTTTCGCCGGACCTCAACCCCATTGAAAACGTGTGGGATGCGCTTCAAAGAAGGATGTTAGATCGCCAAATTGAACCACATGGAATTGAAGAGCTGGGAATTGCTTTTCAACAGGAATGGGAAGCCATTCCGGGTGACCTCATCAATAATGTCATCAGGAGTATGCCTCAAAGATGTCAGGAGGTGATAAGGAGTAAAGGAGGCCCTACCCATTATTGATTATTTTTTATTAACAATTCGTTATTCATTATTATTGTTATTGCTTTAAAAATTAAAATAAAACTTTTTGACTTTCATGTGTACTTAAGATGGTTAAAAAATTATATCTTTTAAAATAAATGACGTAAGACCAAAATCCAAAAAAGCACGCAGCGCTAAGACGTAAGGCTCTATGATGACCTTAAAATAAATTATACAGGGTGACCCATTTACCTCCTGCACATTAATAAATTTGATGTTAAAATCATAGCTTTACAAATCACCCTGTAAAATTATTTTAAATCAGAACAAATGAATGCAGTCATGCACACTTACTGCTAAAGAAATGCCCTTTCTAACAAAAAAAAAATTAACAAGATACGTCCATCCATTCAAAAGTTACAACCTATCAAAGTGGGATAATTTTTTTGGCGAACCACTTCAAAAAACGATCAGTGTATTTTACCCTTACCCAAAATTTTTTTGTAAGAACCCTTTGATTTACATGACTTGAGGCTCCGCCCATAAAAAGTGTCAATTTTATTAGTAAATTAAATTAATTCTATTTTTTATATTTTTATGTTCAAAAAAGAAGTTTTTTATAAATATAGATTGTAATAAATAAATTTAATAAAAGTAACAAAAAGAAGTAAAAATAAAAAAAATATACTGTATAAATATTTTATTTAAAAAAAATTTTATTACAACTAAATTGTTATCTATGTTATTATAAACATGTCGACCTCTTTTCTCGATTGGGGGTGGTTTGCAATTTTTCAACACCCATGTCGGTGGGATAGTAGGTTGGGGCGATTGGGGTGGTAGAGGTGTTGGTATTGATTCCTGATTGATTGTTAGATCAACTCTAAAATAGAAAAAAAATATTAAAAACTTAAGTTTTTTAAAAAATATTACAAATATTACATTTCATCCTCTTGCCCCTCAAAATCATCAGATGGGCGAGAGATGGGTGACATCTCCCCCATTTCAATGTTTTGGGTTGTTAGATCAACTCTAAAACAGAAAAAAAAATATTAAAAACTTAAGTTTTTTTAAAAATACTACAAATATTACATTTTATCCTCTTGCCCCTCAAAATCATCAGATGGGTGGGAGATGGGCGGCATCTCCCCCATTTCAATATATTGAAATATATTTGGGGTTGTTAGATATTTTTTTTTGTTTTTGACTTTTTATGCCAGATAAGTAGCTTGCCACAAACTTTCCAAAAGTGGTATCTTCGTTTTCAGGGACAGGACAGGGAGGCTGTGTTTGCTCCTCAAGGTAACTGTTAAATCCAGTCATGGCTACTTTGTAATCCACCGGTAAAGTGGACTTTTTGCGTTCGCATAATAAAAATTGACCTCTAAAAATGAGGACTAAATAGAGCCGTGTGTTCCGAGCGTTCCTTCCAAAATTCTACTAAGTTCGAGGGCGGCGTCTGGCTTCTAGCGGTTGGAGGCGGCCCATACTCGCCTGGAGAATGCTGCGTGTATACTCGAGCCCCACTTCAAGACCCCATGGAAACAACTCGCTTTGAGTTGCTTGGTCAGTCCAAGTGCTCTTTCCGTGGGCTCGTTACAACGCGGCCAGGTGCCGCGCGCCCCGATGATCAGGGGCGTAAACTCGCAGGTTTTCCCAGGCCACCTCCGTGCTGCTGCCTCGACAAACTTGGGGTTTTGGTAAACCCCCCGCTTCCTCTTCCAGGCCGTCGTTAGACCATCCGCTCCCTCCCAACTCACCTGAACGTCGCAGACCACGATGGTGTTGCGGTCTTTGTGTACGACGATGTCAGGCTTATAGAGTTGGCCGTCTTGATGACGAACGTGGGGCTCCTCCTCCGTTTCCCAGGTCTTGCGTGTATGGGCTGCAATTTTCCGTGCGACGTCGTTATGACGCCGTACCCTCTCACCATGCGATGCACTGCATTGCTGCAGCACGTGGGAGAGGGATTCAACGGCATTGCAACCCGTATTACGACACCGACGCAGGTGCTCGGGGTTGGAGGGTATGCCCCTCGTTGGGAGGACATTTGTTCGAAGCTGGATGGCTCGAACGTAGTCCCGACCTGTCCACCCGGTGGGTTTGTCAGACACCCACCCCCTGCTAGCAGGGTCTTCGGTCGAAATCTGTATGCCGGTTATCATCAGGCCACTTGTTATAGCAGCTCGATGAATTTGTTCCGTAGGAACGTTCCCAGCCAGTTTCTGAAGCCGCACAACAATGCTCTGAATCCTTGGGGTCAGCATTGTCGCGTTGAGCACCGGGACCCCTCCATATTTCACGTTAACCATTCTTCTCAGCAAGGTCTGAGGAATGGCGTGGCGCATCTCGAGGATACGAGCCTCTCACCAGCCTATCCACATCTTTCAAGACGGTGCCCGTAACACGAGTGTTCTGAAGTCCATAAAGCAAACGCGGAACCAAAAACATCCGAATTAACGTCAGTTTCTGGTCCGGCTTCAGTGGAGCTTCCTCAATGCGACGCAACCAACATTGCAGATTCGGTACTGTGGGCTTCAGTACGCCTGTGGCCCCAAATTTATGTCCTAAATACTTGAAGGTTGATACCGCGTTAATCGTCGGTATCTTAGAGCCTCCGATGTTAAAGATGGATTTCGAAATCGGGATAGGCCGCTTATTCCCAGCTGTGGTCAGGGCCGAAAGGCTCACAGACTTCGCCGGGTTGACGGACATACCCTTAGCCTCAAAGAACATCTCGACGTCCGCGAGCGTAAGCGGGACGTCGGTCTGGCGGTCGGCTAGAAGCACGATATCGTCCGCAAAGCCAATCATCGCCACTCAATCAATTCGTCCATCACAATATTAAAGAGTAGAGGAGAGGAGAGGGTCGCCTTGTTTAACTCCTCTGCGTATGCGGATGGGCCGCGTGGTTTCCCTTCCCACCTTTATGGTGGTTGTGGATCCACGTAGCCCCGTTAGGATAAACCTCCGCATATTTTCCTCGACACCAACCCTGACCAGCGCGCGTTTGATGGAATCGTGAGAGACGGAGTCGAATGCTTTCCAAAGGTCTAGAGATACGACATTATATGCGCATCCCCTTTCCAATCGGTGACCGATTTAATGGTCCAGCAATAGCACGTTGGCTAGGGTACCGTCACACTCTACGAATCCTCGCTGGTGTAAGTTCAGGGTAATGTCGCTCCTTAATCTGTGATGGATTACTCTGTGCAGGAGGCGTTGAACAGGTGAACCGATAGAGATCGGTCTCCAGTTCGTGGCCTGTTTCCTGTCCCCTCCTTTGAGTACCAATACGGTACGGAGCGTAGTCCACGTTGTAGGGTGGATGTTACGTCCGAGGTGAATAGTAAATATCACGCTAAGTACCAAGGACTGTACGCGTTTGACGTCAGGAACCGTGATCCCGTCAATGCCGGGTGCCGACGTTTGCCAGTTGTTAATGGCGTTCCTGACCTCTTGTTCCGTGATAACATGGAACGTACAGAGCGGCTCATGTGGGCGGACGGGCTCCTCGTCAGCCGGACTAGGCGACTCTAGGATACCGCCGTATAACGCCTCAACGCTATCAAGTGAAGGGAGGTCAGGCGGGTCATACATTCCCTTCCCACTGAGAATGATCTCCGCCAGTGCCGACTTGTCCTTCGAGAACAGCTCCTGCGCCTTTTTGTAGTCGGCGGCACGCTGGCCCGTGCCGCCTGTGCGCTGTTGGTAGTTGCGCTTTCCGGTCTGGTTTTGTCCTTTCCCATTCCTGGGGGCCCTCTTCTTGGTGCACAGGGTACCCAGTCAACGCTCGATAGCAAGCGTGAGGTCCTGGTGAGTACCAAAGAGGGCTAAGTTAATGATAGTCTTGACTTCGGGCTGCTCCACTCGACATCGAATGTCCCTTGCCTGTGCGGCCCGCGGGAGTAGACCCGCTGGTAAGACGTTCCAGACGGATTACGAGTTCAAGTTAGCGTGGTGCTGTCTCTTGGGACGGTTGCCAGGAGGGACCTGCTTTCGGTGAGGAGTATACCCTGGGTGGGTACCTAACTTCCTTTTTCGAGTGGCTGGTATTGCTGGTGTCCAAGACAATCCTCTTCCTTTCAGGCATAGAGGGTTTATACCGTGGGGAGTGTACTGCCGCGAAGGTCCTTTCCTCACGTTCCGGTGTTACTGGAACGCAAGGCCGCTTCGAGGACGAAGCGGTTGGGGACACATCGCGGCGACGCTTCCGGTATAGTTCGACCTCCGTGGTGGAGGAGAGTTCAAGCGGCGATGCCTCATTGACAGCAGGGGCAATAGAACTCGCCGACTGCGTAGCAGTCGGGGGGGTCATTTCAGAAAGGCAGAGCCTCGGGTTTTCCAGGCTACTTTGCTCAGGGGCGGCCGCAGCGCTATTGACCACCTCGACACGGCGCGAGATTTTGCGCTTCGCGATATCGAGCTATCTAGCGTAGTCTGGGCGTCGCCTCCTATGCTTCACTTGGTCTGCGGTCAGACCCGTTGCGGCTGACATTTCCTTGAGAAAGCTACGCGAGGTAGCTTTCGCCTCTATGTCCGCGATGGTCTGATAGACCTCCGCGTCCGACATGGGCCTCAGGGCTTCAATATTTGCCGCGTACTCTAACAGGTGTACCTTCCGTTCATGAGCCCTGACGCCTTTGTAGGATGTAAGAACCATCCCACAGTACAGGCACTTATTTCTATCGCCACACTTGCGCATCAAGACATGACGCCTAAGTAGAATGGCCGAAGAAAAGCCCAGGCCACACTTTGTGCATTTCGAGAAGGGCTGGGGCCCCGGAATGAAACACTGGGACCCACTCGCAGGCAAAGCCTTTGGTGTCACTCCTCCTCTTTTTGCAGCTGTTTCTCCCCCTTGGGTGGTTGGGGAGCTGCCTTGCCGCCGGAGCGGCAGAGGGCCAGCGGAAGTGGACGCCTTAGGCATCCTTGTCTTGGCCCCTTGGATGGTATGAAGGGCCTTAGGTCCCCCGGATTTGCCGAACCCAGACATGAGTCTGGTCGTTTCCGACTCTCGGTTGCGACTTACGTCACGAAACCTTCGGGCCACTAAATAGGTGACTCTTCGCGAAGCAAAGAGTGCTGAGTTCAAAAATAGAGCGTCTATTTGGGCTACACTAGCAAAATGCGCACTAGGTCACCGTGTCACAAACAAGCTCTGTTGCTTCGTTGCGAAATGGCACTCACTACTTAAGAGCCGCCCCCAAACTCGCTATCTTCCGTCTTCCTTTTTTTTGCAGGCCCGGGTGTCAGCGCGCAATTCTGACATACGGGTGGGATTGGCACCTTGACGGCTAGTTTAGGGCGTTGAGGAAGTGGATGGGGTCAATGAATCGGTGGGAGTCACTGAAGATGTCACTGAGGACAAAGACATTGAATCATCGTCTATATTCAATTCTATGTCCCCTACAGACAATGGCATCCCTTGTTCCTCTGGCTCCGAAACGTGGAAATATGTGTCCCATACCTTGTGGGCTCCTGTGGGCATTTGTGTGCTTTTTAGGTTTTGCACATTTCCTTTAGTTCTGTAATAGTTATTTAAAATAACTAACGTTCTGGCAGTAACAAAAGGTATTAAAAACTGAATTGCTTTAAATAATGGCCATTGGTGAGTGGCCTGGCTTCCGGAAGGTGTGTTTTTAGATAGTCTTAATTCCGTTGAAAATCGGTTTCTGAGGATTGTCCATCGTTGTTCACATTCTTGAGCTACAACAGCAAAATATTCATTTAAATTTGCTTGCTTCTCGTTAAAAACTTTTAGTACTTACGAGTCACACCCATAACAGCCGCTATGGTTTGCCAATCACTTTCCTTGGCTATTTTGTCTTCGAAAGACGGATCGTTTTTATTATAAATAAAAGAAAAGCACTCTACTTGCTCAATCAGTTGCCCATCATCTAAAATGCTCATTTTTGCACTATTCCCAAACACTTCAAAACAAGTAGGTAACAAAAACGAAAATTACAACAATAAACAAGAAATTCGTAAAAGTTTTATCTAGTTTTATTTCATTTGCTGTTGGTATTACTGACGCGGTTTATTTAAAAATTGCGCCGCAAACTTGCGCAGGAGGAATAAAAATTAACATTATCATTAAGAAGATAAAAGTTGGCCATCTCTTAATGTTAACTTAATGCTAAAGTTAATGTTAATGTGTTGCATAAAAGCTTCCAATGGATTACGTTTATTTAACTTCTTAATGTTAATGTTAACGCCTCTACATTGAGACCGCAAAGAAGCATTCGACAATTTTTTTTATATTTTTTAGGCAAAAAGTCGAGCTCAAGAAAGTTACCCTTAAAATCAGTTTTATATGTTAAAGCTTAGTGCCTCGTTCAAAGCACACCCAAATTATATCATGTAAATATACACGCGGCTGCATTTTCTGCAGTTTATATTTTAAAGTATAATCCGGCCAGTCATAAAACTGGTCAATTTTCATTTCAACCACATCAACTTTTGAAGAATTGGCTGTTTGCACGGCATTTACAAAATCGCTAAAGTCATAAATTTTACCCTTTCTCTTTAAAGACAATTCCACTTGATGATGGAATGCGTCTGCTGACCTAAACCTGGCCTGTCTCAAAATATTTTGAGCAAATGTACTTTTTCACTGTCTTCTTCATGGTTATTTTTCTTGTGATGGTTATAGATTTGACGGTGTGGATCACCTGATGTTCTTACATCTCGCCTATGTTGGCTTACCAACCGAGCATATAAGCTCAGGGAGTCCTTTGTTTTGAGTGTGTTCCGATACACCAAGTTGCCCGACACTGATGAGACCCAATATAGGTCTGTCGGTATTTGAAGTTGAAACTTTGGCGAGGTGTAGGTTCAATTTTTTCTTATGAATATTACCAGTAATGGGTCAAGAAAGTTTCTTAAAGAAACTAAGAAAATTGAATGTTTACCTTAACCCTGGAATAGGCGAGTGGTATTAACAAACACGAACGGGCGAGTGGGTGACAAGTGTCACCCGCCTTTTTAAGCATATTTGGACAGTTGGGGCTTTAAAAAAATATATTTAATACAACGTTTTATTAATAAAAAACATATTTTCACTATTAAAATTAAAAAAAAAACATAAAATATATTTTAAGAACTTAATTCACTTAATACAAAGTTTTTATAATAATAAAGGTAATTAAACTATTAAAATCTAGAAAAAACATTGAAATTTATAAAAAATAAGATTAAATATTTTTAAGAGCTTAATTTATATTTAATTTTTATTCGTAGCACCTGACACAAACGTCTTTAAAATGCTCTCCGCACATCCACTGTCCACATTTTACACAAAATCTTCGCGTTGTCTTGTCCCTGATTCGTCCACAGTCCTGACAACGTACTCTATTTCCTGTTCGTTCTTATTTCCTGTTCCTGAAATGTTTTTTTGCATTTGTGGTATTCCTAGAAGTAATTTCGCTCTTCGTCTGATTTCCACCCTTACAGTATTATTTTCCGATCTTCTTGATATTTGAGGTCTTACCAACTCCCAGGCAATGTTTTCCAAAAATGTATTCCTCTTTATTGAATTTGAAGAGTTGTTGCACTTATAAATGCGTAATGCATTTATACCTACAATATTTATCAAATTATAATATAATACCATAGGCCAACGTCGTGTGGTTCTGGCTATATTTGACCTCATAACATAATTGGTCTTCAAGATCTACGCCAACTTTTGTTTGATTGTAGAAAGTTATAATTTCCGGTTTTTTTTATTTGCCGTCGATTTATTGATAGCATTATCGTGGTGCATTGTTGAAATCAATATAACTGATTTAATTTTTTTGGGGCAGTAGGAAACAAGCGTGGTATTATTTTGAAACCCGAACAATGAAGAGTAAGCTTCCCTATTCTTGTCTGGCAAAAATTCTTTAGGTAATTCCTTCTTATTTTTTTGAAGTGTTCCCACGTAAGTAGTTTTCTTCTCTTTTAGAAGCTTATCAGCCAGGGGTATACTTGAATACCAGTTATCTCCAGTTAGATTTCTATTGGTACCTTCAATTGGTTCAATCATTCGTAAAACTATATCCTCTGGCTTATTGCTTTTATTGTAAGGACCATCAGGTTGTGTGCCTACATACACTTTAAGGTTTATAGTGTATGCCATCTTTACATCGACTACTGCAAATACTTTTATGCCATATTTTGCAGGTTTACTTGGAATATACTGGCGAAAGGAACATCGCCCCCGAAATGCAAGTAATTGCTCATCGATTGTAACGTATTCGCTGAGTGTGTATAGTTTCTGAAAATTTTTGCACATTTTTTTCATGCAAATCTCGGATCGGTGCCAATTTGTCCGTTTCTTTTCGAATTGGTCTGTCTTTAACATCGTCAAAGCGCAAACATCTCAGTAAAAAGCGAAACCGTTTTTCGCTCATTGTGAGATAGCATGATTCGAGTCCATTTCCTCTACTGTTTTCCCAACATGTGTGTATATTTTTTCTTGAGCTACGAAATGACCCGATCAAGAATAGTAGCCCAATAAGAGCCCTGATTTCTATAGCATCTGTCGGCTTTGCGTTCGACTCTCGCCCAAATTTATGTTTGATATTTTCAATATAAATATTTGTTGATGTGACAATAGTGTCTATAATATATACATCAAGAAATAAATCCAAAATTTCGATGGCAGATGTTTTACCCCTAGCCTCAGCCTTTGGACCAGGTGGATGTATTATGAAATTATGAGCACGAGTTCTTCTATGCAAGTTTGGCGTTTTCTTTGCCCATTGGGTAATACCGTCTTTTCCCACAAAAAAATCACTTATTTCAGAATTTTCCTCCTCTACATCACTATGTAAACTTTCATTGTCACGTATTTCTTGCGCAGACACAGAATCGTGATCACTTTGTTGGACATTATTAATTTCTTCATCTTTACTCTCATCATTCTCTTCACTGTTTGATTCGCACTCCTCAAACCATTGCATCCAAACATTAGGATCCGTACTTGTTTCAATTTTGCGTTTTTTTGGTTCCGCCATCTTTATAAACCTATAAAATAACAATTATTTCATTTAACACAATTGCTTTACAAGTAATAATTTAAGAAATTAAAAAAAATATATAAATAAAATTTAAAAAATAAAACTTACCAGTTTAGTCGAGTGGGTGACACGTGTCAACCACTTTAAATAACAATTTATTTATTATACAACCGTTTAAGACAAAATTCGCCAGTGTACTAAAAATAAAGCTTAATGTGTTTAGAGCAGGTACTGATAATCCCTAAGATGCCACGTGCTGCCGTTTTTAAAACTTACTTTGAAAACATCTGGGTGACACATGCTTTAGGCCATATTGTCAACCACTTTAAATAACAATTTATTTATTATACAACCGTTTAAGACAAAATTCGCCAGTGTACTAAAAATAAAGCTTAATGTGTTTAGAGCAGGTACTGATAATCCCTAAGATGCCACGTGCTGCCGTTTTTAAAACTTACTTTGAAAACATCTGGGTGACACATGCTTTAGGCCATATTGGTATCTTTGATACAATTGCTGTGTGCAGTCCCGGTTGCATAGTATGTACCGATTGCGGCAAAGGCCACGTCGTTTGACAGTGTGGATCACCCGATGTTCTTACATCTCGCCTATGTTGGCTTACCAACCGAGGCCACGTCGTTTGACGGTGTGGATCACCCGATGTTCTTACATCTCGCCTATGTTGGCTTACCAACCGAGGCCACGTCGTTTGACGGTGTGGATCAACCGATGTTCTTAGATCTCGCCTATGTTGGCTTACCAACCGAGCATATAAGCTCAGGGAGTCCTTTGTTTTGAGTGTGTTCCACTACACCAAGTTGCCCGACACTGATGAGGCCCAATATATGTCGAAACAGCTGTCTGTCGGTATTTGAAGTTGGTGGAACGCACTCAAAACAAAAAACTTTGGCGAGGTGTAGGTTCAATTTTTTCTTATAGATTTCGCATTGCCAACACTCCTCATGGCCTAACTTGGCGAATGAAATGTTAAGATCATCCGACACCACTTTTCTATTTAACTCGTAGGATACTTTAAAATGGTTGTACATTAATTGTATAGTTATATCTGAGGGCAGTTACCTCTTATTGGGAGCATGTTCACGCCGATAGTGTGATAAGGTGGGGTTGAACAAATTCACGTGCTCGATGATAGACTGTCTATCAATTTTTTAAAGACACGGTTGACATCCCCTCTGATCTGTTTTTGGCGCTATTAAAGATTGATTCGTATTACGTACAGTTTTTAAAACATGGTCATTATTATCATCATATCCCAAAGTTGCCAAAAAGAACTTTTTGCATGTTTGGATTTCAACTCCATTTTCTTTTTTTTTTAAATATTTATAAGTAAATTTTCGTAAGCTGCTTGTCCCGGCTGTTTTTTCGTTTTTTTCTTATTTCTTTATTAAACTATAAATAAAAGTTATTCTGTCCTTCTCACTAAGCTGCCAAAACTGCGAGTTTGTCGTTCTTTACTCAAGCTAAAAACACATTTATATTTGCATTTATCAGAGCAAGGTTCCTTCACTTTAAATTTTTTGCTTTTCCGCATTTGTTCAATTTTCTTTCGCTCAATTGAGGAACTATCAATTTTTTTTCTTTTCCTCATCTGTTCTTTCAGTGAATCTTTGGGTTTCTTGTGTTTCAACAACATTCGTTACTTTGTCAAGTAGATCCGACAAAATATTTCTAACAATATCATCGTTATTTATATCGAGTTCAGTCTCAATTTGCATTATTTCTGCAGGGTTGTCAACGTCATTTTCCAAAACAAAATCAAGATCATTCTCTTTATTTTTTTTCTTTAGTATTTATTGATTTTAACCGTGTTGTGTTCGGGTATGACAATTAATACTTGGTTCACTTATGATTAATTTATTCTTTACATATCACAGAACTACATGTTACTCG